GAGCTTGGTCACATACACTGGTTGTGAATGAAATGAATGCAGCAAACTCCCATCTCATCGATGCGTCGAACTGATTCACCCGCATCTTCGAAGCATAAGGCCATCAGGCTGTGGAACTGTGAAGTCTTGTCAACAACCAAAGACCGCATCAGGGCCTCAAGCTAAAAACAAGCGCATTCCCTCCGGCTTCTGCCAAAGCACGTCTTCTGGGAATACATCTCCACTTTGGGATTCTCCATCTCCTCGTACCTCATGTGCAAAAAAAGTGCCACATGTTTTGAGTGTGTGCCAAACATGAGGATGCCGCAATGCCCAACCCCCACCTGTTCTTCACCTGTTCCGACTTTCGATTGTGCCTCATGGGCCCCGATGTCCCCCTGGGGCCGCCCACACCACGGCGCCATCCAGCAGAGTTGGCCCCCAAAGGCTGATGACGCCAATGGTCCAGGCACCTGGAGAAAGGCAGGCTGAACTCGAAAGCGGATCACATCGGATCAGTGACCATCAATATTAAGAGCGGCTGACTAACTACCCTGACAGCTGCATTTTGACCCCCAATGTAGACAGACTTTGATATGTTCGCAGCATTCTTCTAAGTTGTACGGCTAGGTTTCACATGTCTGGGTGCCCGAAATTCCTACCATGTTATTACTTGAGGGACGTCTCTACTGTCCCACACTGGCATGGATGTAAGATTCGAAGATTCACAAAACGACAAATTGCAGGGACAAGTCTTGGCTCATCATGGCTCTTCTCAGATCACTCAGAAATGCCACAAGCCCGGCACCAATGAAGAAGCACGCCTCGTTCGGCAAAAAGAGAGCTGCCGAAAAAATACCCAAAACACACACACAGATATATATATATATATATATTCTGTCTGTCGTCCAGTCCAGTGGCTATACTACACGTACCAAATATCTGTAAAGGCGGGGCCTCACAGCCCCAACAGTGCCGTAAAACAACAAACGTGCTCTCTCTCTCCCTCCCTCCCTCCCTCCCGGTCTCCCGCTCCCTCCCTCCTCTCGCATTTTCCGCTGGTGCCACATGTTGGGAATATGACTGGGTCTGCACTACACAGCATTTAAGCGGCATTAAAGTGGCCTTTGATGTGGGTCAATCACACAGCACAATCTCAACAACACACCACAAAACAACACCTCCACATATCTTACGTTGTATCGCAAAGTGTATCCCAAAGGTGGCACCATCTCTTGGACAACCCTCACCCATCAGTCCATCCCAGTTCAGCCGTACGTACACAAGCAACGCAATCTTCCTTTCCGACTGGACCTGCTTGCCCATTCGTTTCCTGCACTGAATCACCAGTCAAGTTGCAACTGCCCAGAAGGGGCTCACGATGCGGTTCCTGCTCTGCCGGAGTGGGGCTCGGATTGCTTTTCCAGGTTGAAGTCAATCGGCCAATGGGGAACCCCGAGGTTCTAAAGTGTGGCGAGTAAGGCTGGAAAGTCCAACGCAAATGGGTAATGAAAGGACACCAGAAAGGGACAAAACCATTGAGCTTTCCTGGCAAAGGCCGCGCTTGTTGCAGTACGAGGCACTTGGGAAGCGGCCAAACGCCCTTGAGGCCCATAGCAGTTGCCACCATAAAGCCTGAGAAGCCATGGCGGCAAAACCATTGGAACACCAAGCCATCTTTGGATGGAGGCAATTGCTATATAGTTTTTTTTCCAATTTTTGGAAACGGTGGGACTCGTGATCTTGGTTTGACACAGAACTGTTTCAAGCCAAGATGCATGTGATGCCGTAGTAGGGACAAGCATCTGCGAAGCTTGCCGAGACAGGAGCGGTCCTTGGCAAACACAGCAATGTGATTGATGCCCGTGGCACGGCTGACAGTGAGAACAACAATTTGCAGTTCATATCAAGGGTAGAGATTGCAAGTCCAAAACAGCAGGGGGGCAGGTGCGTTCCTACCCAAGAGCAGCAATACTTCTGCAAATGCTACCTTGCTTAGTTTGTTGCACACATTGTGACACTGTGTTGCAAATCTTTAACCAGTACGTAGACAAAGAAGGAGCACCGCATAGCATCGCCCTACCCACAGCAAATGAACAAGACTGCTCTGGTGCTACATTTTCACCCTGCAGCTCATGCAAAAGTCCTTTACCCTTTCCGCAGCCCACCGAGGATCTTCTCCGTTCTTCTCATCCAAGAATCCACTCCTCGCCTTGTGCGCAGTCCTGGACGCTCGGCGAGGGTGCCAAGACGTAGGGCAAGCTAATGACCTTCCCCGGAACGCCATCCTCAGCAGCCGAAAGAAACACACGCTGCTGTTGCTGGTGCTGTTCGTCTACTGATTTTGAATCTAGAATATCATCTCATTGAACATCTTGGTCAACTTGTGCAAGGCTGAAGCATAGAGCTGTGATGCGTTGCGATCAAGGCTCATAAAGGCCAGAGATTGCAAAGAAAATGCCTCCAAAGCAAATAATCCTTGGAAGAGGTATTTGCCCACAATGGGCCGACTTCCCTCGAAGAGCTACGCCAAACAAGGAAAACCATCAATCTTCTGGGCTGGTGCTTGGAGATCCAGCCGCTCTCTTCAGCACAATTTCATCGGAACCCTCCTGATTTCGACTTTGACACTTGCCCCAGCCCTAAGTTGATATCTTTCGCCTTTAGTGAGGCCTTATATAGTTAATATAGTTTAGTCCTCTTCATGCCCAGATTCGTTTGTCCGACGGCCAAAGCGGCGTTGTTCATAATGATTTGGACCTGAGTGGTGCCAAAAACCCTTGGCAGCTCAGCACCACAAACCACTGGTCACCTTCACGGCTCTAATGAACCTACTGGAAAGCCACACCAAGACTGTAGCATGTCCATAGCCCTTTGCTTTAACCTATCCACCGTCCTATTCTTCTGTGACACCCAATTGTAGTCACTCCCTTTCTTTCTGGGTTTCCACTGACAAAGTCTGTCGCAACATCTGTCGCACTTCTCGACTGCCACCCAAGGACCCGGGTGAGCATTCCAGCGGCCAAGGCCCACAACACGCCCTCGGCGGTCATCGTGACCTGGCGAAAGACGAGCATTGGGCTGTTGAGAGACATGACATATACACAAGCGATGAAAAAAACATGATCTCCTTGTGAACATCTACCCTTCAGCAATTCAGCAATGCTCGAACCATGTTCAATACCGAAACATTTGTCGTGAAATCTATTTACGGTTTCTTAATATTTCTTAGCTGCCTAAGGCAACGAGAGGGCGTAGCAATGCGTAGCATTGAGGTGGACTAATAGGATCAGGCAGTGAGGTGGTCTCCATATGCCAGGTTCAATCTGGACTGCGCCTAGCCTGCATCGCAAAGTGCCAGTTCTTGTCAGTTGGCAAGATCCATTTAAATGTGTAGGTGCCTGAGACACACTAGGGTGCATTACCAATCACACGCCCAATGGCCACGCAAGTTTCGTAAACAATAAGTCTGTGCAGTGTCGAAGTCAAATGAGAAGACCTGACAAGTGGCACTAGCAAAGACTGGCGGACGGCAAAGCTGATTCCTCCCATCTTGATGGAATTGTGGAGGGGGCTCCCAAACCGGCCAACAATCAAACCAGGGCACTTGCAATGATTGCGAACGAGATGACCAAAGAGACTCCAGCCTCGGTGTCCACATGGACATGCAGCTGTTCCATCAGCTTTTGTGATCCAATTCTTTGACCAGCAAACGTCAAGGCACATGAATTTGCAGCTTGATGTCCATTCTACCCTATTCTCAACCACTCGCAAAATGCGTTCCTCGTCTTCCCGTGGTCAGCGTCGCACCAAAATGTTGCACCAGTCGGCTGCGATGATGAGGCACTGGCGAGTGCGTTGGAGAGAAGGGCAGACTTGACACTCTAAGAATCTCTCGTGCATGGATGACGTCACATGGATGACGTCATATTTTGAACTTGTGACGAAGCCATGCTTGATCTTGAGGAAGCTGCATTAAAATCATTGAGATATAGGAGCAAGGACGCTACTAGGGGCTCCTGGCCCTACTACTAGGAACAAGAACGCTACTAGGGGCTCCTGGCATCGCTACTAGGAACAAGGACGCTACTAGACTTCATAAATACCTCCTCAAGCGGGACAGAGACACTCGTGGAGGAACTGGCCCGCTCACGATTCCCATGGCTCCTTGGCCGCTTCACTAAGCTCCGGGGTTCGGCCGCTTCAACTTACACTCGGCATCGCTAGGAACATGCTCCGTTCGTAGCGATGCCAGGAGCCCCTAGTAGCGTTCTTGTTCCTAGTAGTAAGGCCAGGAGCTACGTTCGTAGCCTCTTTGCTCCTAGTAGCGTGGCCTGGAACATGAAGCCTCTGAAAGCAACTTCTGTATGGCGGACGATCGACAAAAATCCAATCTCCTGTTCCCAGTTCACCCAAGTCGTCTGCAGGAGCGGGGTACAGTTGAGAGAAAACATCAACAAACAGTCTGGGTAATTAGACCCGTTGTGCTTGGTATGTGTCCATGTCGGTGGGAAGTTCAAGCGCTTTTTGTCGTCCTTCTTTGGTCTGGCCATCAGCCACATGCGCTCTTGGCCGTGCACAAAATGGTTCGCCCGCACTTCCGCACAAGCCAGGCTCTTGGGCACAAAACCGCCTGAATACCTGGTCACCAAGAGTTGTGACCATCTGAACAACAGGTAAACCGCCAAGGACTTCGTGCGCTGCTTCCTTGTAACTACAATTCCAGAATTTCCTACCCCTTCATTTCACTACATTTCCCATAGCCGCATCCTTGGCTGTCGTGCCTTTCCACAAGGACATCCAGCTTTCCTCTCAGGCATCGTCAACGATCAGCTCCACATTCAAGAACTCCGACAACTTGGCGGCACGCTTCTCCAGCACAAACTTGCTGTACCTGCCAGGCTACCGCATCCCCACTCTCATGCCGGATTTGCTTCCGAAACTGACAGGGCGCAAAGGCAAGCGTGAGAATCAATCATACATATGCAATTTAATGCTATTGATTATGGTTCAATAATGATTCAATAAGGCTTTGCCACTTGTTGCGTGGCAAGCGCCCGGACGGGCAAATCCCATTCAAACTCAAGAAGGTATGTGATGATTCGACCCTGAGTGCTCTCAAAGCTCAAAGCTCTCGGGTACACTTCGGGATCGTCCATGAAATGGATCTCCTTTCCATCCTTCCAGGCTGAGCGGGGTGAGCATCGGAGTAAGGGACACGCAAGCTGACGTACCCAACTACACGGCTTTACATGCCAACGGAACGTAAGGACATGCAACGCGGGAAGGATCTGTTCCCTTGAGTGTGGCATCTCCAGCCGATTGGCCTGGCCCTTTGACCTTGATTCACTTGAATGGAAAGTGCTTCCCATATCTTCCCATACGTCTCCTGGCAAATGAGGTACACATCCCGCGCACCCAAGACGGCCAAGTTGGTCCACTCGAACTTCACAGCTTGGAAGTCTTCCAAGGGCACCTGGCAGGAAGAAGAACATGGGACTTAAGCGAATTGGAATTCTTGCCTTATGACCATCTTGTGACCCCCAGAAGCACCAATGCCATACGCCCACCTCGCGAATCATCTCGTTGTTCCGCACAATGTACATCATGCCTTGAACAACATCGAACAACCACAGCTTCACCATCTACTCTGAGCCTACTCCTTTCAATTCTGCTCTCGTTGCAGTGCTGGACTGCCCAGGTGCCATCGTTCTTGTTGAACTCACAAACGCCCTGACCAATGTTGAAGATGTTGATGTACCACCTGGTGTGTGGGCGAGCCGGTTCCATTCTATCAAATCTTTGGGCTGCAACGTGGCTAAAGTTGAACAAGATCCAAATCATCGCTGGACCTTGCTAGCTTCCTACTTGCATCTAGGAGATGCCTTGGAATCATCCCAACATCACATCCAAGTTCACATGTTCAAGTGACCGTCCTGCAAACTGCGACAGCTACAAATCATTCTTCTCAGTCTCACTAATAGGCCAAGCCACTGGATGGGACCGAAGACAAAAAAGCCGAAGAAGCCATAGAAACCTAGCTGCAACTTTGAATCGTTGAAATATCTTGGAAACGAGAATGCCTCTGTCCTAGCCAACCCTTTTGATTCAAGAATGCTCCCCAACCCACCAATCTGCATCCACCTACCATCTATACCCAAGTAAACGCCGCATGTTGGGCTTGTCATCCCACTTCTGAACGCATTCCACTAGCCCCTCTCTCTCCCCCCTCCCTCTCTCTCCCTCCCTCCCTCCCTCTCTCCTTCCCTCCCTCTCTCGCTCTCTCTCTCTCTCTCTGCAGTTCCACCCAGGAACACATGAAGGCGCCCTGTGGGAGGAAGTTGATCCCCTCGCTGGGCCGCAAGAAGCCCAGGTACTGCGCAGTGATGGGGGTCCAATCCACGATGGGCTCCCCGAAAAAGGCGGACAATCCCACCACCAAGAAACCCAAGGACACCTGAGCTCGTGCGCCGCGCCAGGGCGTGAGAACTAGACACGGGGCCCAAGGGACGCTCAAAGGGATGCACCATCAATCCACTACATACATCAAATCCTGTGCCTTTTTGGCATCATGTAATAGTAGTATTATAGAATGGAGTAATCAGTAGTTAGACATATCCCACCAAATCAATGAGAGGACGCTTGTGCGAATGACTTTGATGGCTTCCATGTTGGAGACCTCCTCTTACTAACCACAAAGCGTTACTAGATGACGATTATTACATACTTAGGGTTCTTTTGCTAGAAAGCTTAGCCAAACTTCCAGTCTCAGTTGGAATGGGTTTGACATGGTTTGCCTTAACCTCCCTCTATCTTTCAACTGGACATGGGGCCATGTTCAGCCACAGTCTCTATTCTTGCCAAAATGCTTGAGCCATGAGACTGCTGAAGCCTTTAAGCATTAATTAACTGGCTAACCGAGAAGTATTTCCCAGAATCTACAGGATCTAACGACCATTCCTCACCTGTGATCCCGCCAGTCCCTTCGCTTTATCCAAGGCTCTGCTGGCTGCACCACAGCCCAAAACACGGAGCTGGGCTGCCGACCGCCCGCATACTTCTCACGCAAGATCATCCCATCTTCCGTCTCCTTCCAAGAACACCCGACAGATTCGTCCCGATGGATTCGGCATGGATTTCCGACTGCTCCCTGTGACACATGCCCTTCTTCATCGCGCCGATCTGCAGTATCCCAAGACTTACCCCCTCTGCCCCGCTGCTTTAGACTCCGTCCTCGAAGAGCTGATCAGCAGGCGCCAGCAGCTCGGCCAAGGTCTGTCGGCCTTCTTGGTTCATCGGCTTTGGCCGTTCTGCGTGAAGTGCCACTGGGTTGCTCACCTAAACGCGAGCTTCAAGCGACTGGAGATGAAGAGAACCAGCCAATGAACCAACAAAGGTGGACATGTGTAGGTATGTACATAATATTAGGTATGTTCAGCACCTACATTTACGGTAAACCTTTGGCATCCTTTGGCCGGAATACTTTGCGCAACACTTTGCATCTCCAAGGCACGTCCTGAGTGCCCCGGGCAGTTCTAGGTGCCACGAAGGTGCTCATCTGCCACGCCAAGGCGCCCAGCAGGAGCCATCGTAAGAGTCGAAGTGGGCGCGCCATGGGAAGCGATGTTCAAAGGTCCCAAACTCCCCAAGCAAGCGAGTTGATGAAGGAAGAGATAGGACTTCCCATGATTCAGTGGATCGGAATAGTGTCTTTCTTGCTCTTCGGAGGGTGAATCATGAAAAGTGTTTGCCCCCTCCCTATAGTTGCCACTCCTTTTGAGCCATAAAAAGCGAACAAACTGGTTTCCACTATTTTCCACTTCTTTTGCAGAAGGTTGCTGGTGAATGCTGGTGACCTCAAGGGTGCGTTGATCATCAACGTCACGCGGTACGAAAAACGCGGTGGGCATCTTCGTTGAAGGCATTCGTCTCGCTGTGCAGCCAGGATTCACAACAGTTGGGCGGGGCCGGGCGCACAAACTCAGGAGGCACTGAACCGAAAGGCTGCAGCTGGGACCCCAAATAGGTATCTAACTCGGGGCAAGTGATTGAGGCGGAAGACTGACACTGGCAGCCTTCCATGTTGAATGACTCTTGCAGGTGAAGAGTTGCGCAACCCAGCCGCGTGGCAAGTCACTTTCGAATCATGTCGAATTGCTTCACCTAAGAAAGGACTCTCTGTCAGTGCCCGCCTCCTTGAGGCGTTGTAGGAGCTCCTGGCGGAAGCTCTGTTTGCTTCAACACAGCTCAAGTGATTGCTTCAAGGATCAATGCAAACCAAACAGCACTGGAATTACACATCACACATCTAATGGAATGGAGAAACAGGTCAGTGCCGGCCTGTTTGGACTGATCTTTGCCAGCCTCGACGCAGCAAGGCAAGTGTTCGACGTCTCAAGTCTCAAGGCACTGCAATATCTTTCAACTGATTTCAGTACCATCAGAAGTGTGCCACCGACACCAAGTGCACTCTTCGAAGTTTTCTTCAGCACAACATCCAAGCATGCACACGTCATTGATGGCCTGCTTCGGCAATCCTAGGGCTGCATACTCGCTCCTCAGGTGAAGTCTCCACATTACATCACATAACATCACATGACCATGGAAGACATGCGTCCAATAATGCGTCCAATCAGTCCATCATGACCCATGGTTTGCAAACATGGGTCAGGGCAATCCAAGTCCAGGGCCCCATGCACCTCAATTCATGTCTCACCATCCCACCATGCACCTCCCTCCCTCCCTCAGTCTCTGTGCGGGCTTAGCTCTCTTGCTGCCTGCTGAGCCAGAAAACCCTCTGCTGGAACGACCGCACCGACACCCTCACGGCACCCTCTCTGCTCCGCGGAGCCGCGCTCCTCAGGGCGACTTCGGACATGGCGTCCAGCACCTTCACCTCAAATTCTTGGACGAGTCTTGGAAGCGAACGGTGCAAATCTTCTGCTCAAGTGGTTCATTCATCCATATTCTCACCACGTCTGCCTTACAAACAGCCCAAAACATGGTCATCCACCGCCCACTTGCAAAAACCAGCTGCACGACGACTCCCCCAAAAGTGCTGCACGCGTTAGTTGATCGCCCTTCGAGCGCCCCGGCGCGGTGAACCACAGCCAAAGCTGCTTGAAAGCTCTCCAAACCTCACAGGTCGTGTGGAACTGGCCAGTGCACTGCCTCCTTTGATTTAAGATCATTTAAGTAAATTAGTTCGAAAGTCTTCAGAACTTACAGATTCCTCTATAAATTCCAGCTTGTGCTGTGAAGTCAAGTTCTATGCAAAAGCACAATGATGTTACAACGCTAGGATGGAAAGCCCTCACATGCAGTACACTAAACCAGGCCCGTGCAGTTGTGCATGCGTGAGCGGCTCCGGTTTCACCCATACGAAATGGCGAACTTTAGGCTCCGCACGCTTCACTGGCACGCCCTGCGATGCCCAGGTCAGCAAGAAAATCCTCAGCAGACTCTGGATGAGCAATTGCACCAAACGGTAGAATGTGCAGCCACAGAGTGAGCCGAAATGCTTTGCAATGACCCCAGCAAGTTATGTATATATACATTCACCATTACTAAACGGTATGATGCCATATCATTGCCATATCTTATCCATCACTTATTAATAAGTGGATCCTCAGATCTTGTGATTCCTCAACATAGATGCACCAAGACTCGACAAATTAGAACAGCTTGAGGCCCAGCTATACGGGTGGCGGGGGTGTTTTCTTGGACCCACCTTCTTATCATCATCTGAGCCCCATGCCCAAGACAACATCTTTGGATCAGCTCCTGCATCGTAAGCTCAGTCGTGACAGCGAGAGATTGCAATCACTTTAAAGGCAACCTGTTTAGGGCATGTGTGCTTCTGCTCCGCGAGCTCCGCAAACAAAATTATATAATACGTAGGTATCCCAACATTTCAAATTTTCACAAATCTACACAATCTAGCAGCCGGTCACATGAGTAGTTGACCCGGAAGTACCCAGAACCATGCACTGACTATGTGGCCTGTGTGTGCCATCAATTACGTTAATTTTATGTCGCACAAAGGAGGCTACCAGTCGAAATGCTAGAACACAGCATCGAACCCCCAAAAGCCAGCAAAAGGGAGGCACACCTTTTCCCCCAAAACCACTCCAAACTGACACCATGTCTTTCTCCCGCCCCAGGGCGGTGCCTTTCGCTGCTCTGCATCGCTGAGTCGGACGCCGGAGAGGCTGGAGGTGGAGACCTGGCGATGGAGCGACACGGTGGTGTTTCGACACGGACCTAACAAGGTGCATCGCTACTAGGAAGAAGCTACTAGAAACACAGTTGGAAGTCCCAAGTGCCCCTTGGGCCGTGCCTGGATGCTACATGAATGGCTGAAATTGGCCCCCCAAAGACCATGTTTCAGTTGGAGTCAAGGTGTTGGGACAAGGTGTTGAAACTCTTCATCCAATCCGGTGGATTCCGGTGGTTCTTGTCCGCCTCCATCTCACGGCAATCCTTCTGAAGCTCTTTCAGTGGCATCTCCTCGGCACAACTCTCTGGCAGACGCCTCCCTCCCTCCTAAGCACCTCTGTGGCATCCGAAGTCGAAACCGGGCTCCTGCCACATGGCAACCTTCTCTAGGACTTTGAGCAAATCCCTCTTGGTTGAAGGTTCTCCAGCCTCGATGCCAGTGGGAGAGCAAGTGTTTGGTCAAGTTTTGGGATGGCAATGGGGGCATCTATGTAGTCATATAATATATCTATATGAATCCCGTTCTATGTTGCATGGAGGGGTAGGACCCCCTCAAAATAAAATAGAATCAGAGTAGCCAACGCTGAGTTCATAATAAAATCAGAGGGTACTAACGTTGAAAAAAATGGGCTCTCAAAATAGATCAGTGGGAGCCAACGTAGAAATTGTGATCAGGCAAGGCCATGATTTAGAAAATGATTGAGGGTAGCCAAGGATTACAAGATCATCCAAAGTGACCAGAAGACCAAGACTCAAGAATCAACAGCATCAAAGACTACGATATTTTTCTCACGCAAAAGATGTCAAAGTTTCTTGTTGTGCAGATGCTACTGTACATCACCACTTCGCACCTCATATAGGCACCCTTATTTTGAGACATCCCCATTTCTTGGTTCCCCTGGAATATCCAACAAAGCTATGTAATAAAGTGTAATAAAATCATGGGCACCCAAGCTATGTGAAATCTGGCTGTGTTTGACTGGAAGGGTTTAAATGATTTTATTTGCTAATGGTGCTGGGTTCCTGTGCCTTTTGCAGATTCCTGATGCAATGTTTGTTGGAAAGAAAATGCAAAAATAGAATCAATGATGCTTATTCTTGGATGTTTTTTCATTGTTGTGATTGGGCTAAATGATTCCATGAATCCAACATGCAAAAAATAAAATCAGGGAGCCAACCCCTTTTTATTATATGTCACTGGTTTGGGGGCCCGGGCCAACCTCATTTTCACACTTCTTCCTCAAAATAAATCAGCCTACCCCAACCCCCCCTCACTCTTTATCCCACCTCTTCTAGTAATAAAATGGGGCCTCGAAAAAAAGGGCTCTAGCCCGCCCTTTTCATTTTCTATCACGGCACGGCTATCTATATGATTCACATAGTTAATCCATTCTACTTACTCAAGAAATCTCAAGGGCCTAATCTAGTGACATGCCAGGATGATTTCGCGTTTTTAACAACATGCACATCCATCAAAATCGAGTCCATGGACCCTCGACACCCATCGAAGACTTTGACCCGCTTTTTCGGCGCCACGCTGTGCCGCTCTGCGCACGTGCCACGCCTCACTGGGGATCATCAAGGCTTTGAACTCCAAGCGCAGATCGTCGAGGCTCAGCTCAGTCAGCTGGGAGATCCTGAGCAGATCCGATTGGACGCTCCTCGAGGTGCAACAACTTCTGATTCTCCATCACATCGGCTCGTCTTCATGGAACCTCCCAAAAGGCCACAGCATAAGGAGGAACAAACATCAACCCAAATCCACTGGTGGGATTTTCCCGTCACCTCCCTCTTGCACGTCTACAGCCGCCACAACCTTTGCAGCCCTGTCGATGATACCCGGGCCTCTCCACGACC